TCACTCGCATTCAGTTGATCACGAAGATCTGAGATAACCTTGAGTTGCAGTAAACAAAACCCGATGTAATTATTTCCATAATGAGAGGACATCAAGTGTATCTAGTTTACTGCCATGTCTTTAGGCGGACGGTTCCATTAGTTACGCAGACGTCACTTCTATCACCTAGAGTTTACGCATACCTGGCACAAGTTAGCCCGTAAAATCTAGTCTCCGACTCTGCATCGGAATTAGAAAAATCTGCTCGCATTAGGCCTGTTGAACATTTGATGGTAAGTCGAGCTCATAGAAAGGACGTATTAAAATGAGAGGGATAAAGAGAGAAAAGGGTAGAGACTCACCCTCTCCTTGTCTGAGAGGATGGTGGTGGCCTTCTCCTTATACGCTGCTAGAGAACGCGTCAGACGTGCAACATTTTGCTGAAGCTGTTCAACACGACTTGAGGAGAGGTCAGCCAATTTGAGCGCCTCAGTTGCTTTGCTTTCGCTTTCCTCCTAGAGTAATCAACGACAATCCTTTATCGATATGTAGATACTTCCAGTAGACCTGTTCAACTTTTTTTTGATATGTAATAATAGCGACATTCAATGCAAGATGGATCCCAATGTCTTATCCGGATTATTCAAAGTGGTTACTTCAGATAGAGGAAATATCGAATTGAGATTATGGAAGAGCGTTTAGTGATGAAAGAGAAGCCGAATAGATAAAGCCACATGACGCGATCTACAGTCGACCGCGTGACTTCAAGGCAGTAGATTGGATTCCGATTTGTGGTGGTTCCGCCGGCAGTCCACGGCACAGCAGCCGATCGTTGGGGTGAAAACTCTGTGCATGCGTGTAGCACCTGATCCCAGGTGCACGGCCGGTCATGGATGGCAATGTAAACTAGCTTACAAAAGTTTAATAGATACTTCTCCAGTACTGTTTCAACGGCTGCCCCTTTGGGTTTGGTAGCATTCAAGCCAAAAATAACCGAACGATAAATTAATACCAACCCCATGTCAATCCACGTAAAGTGCATTCGAGTGTTCCATTTCTGGTTAGGATGGTACTGGAATGGGGAGGATGAGTTAGACAAGCTTTGTTGAAGTCCACAACTTTCCTCCAGCAAGATATCAGCGAGGAAAGCGTAGGCAAAATAAAGTAGTGTACTTGCGGGCATTGTTCATTTCACTAGACACCAATGGGAGCTTAAGCATTTTTAAATAATAAAAGGCAAAAGAGAAAAAAAACATTCCTTAAAGTAAAGAGAAGTTCATTCATTGCTAGCCTGACCACACTGTTGATCACTTTAACGCACCAATAAAATAGGAGTGTATATTAAAGTATCACAAATGTTCCTTCTCACAGTAATGTCAACTTGAAGCTCACCAGAGCCTTTTGTGTCGTTGTTAGAGTATTCGTGAGGTTTTCCACTTGGACTTCGAGATCTCTAGCATGGCCATTGTCATTGGGTACTGTTGAATCCGACTGCTGACTAATCGTCCTCATCTCATCCAAACGAGTCTGTAATGCCTGCACCTGTCTCCGAAGACTGCCTATCTGGAAGAACACCAAACACTTGATTCAACGCAACAATTTTCTATCAATCAAATAATCAACAGAAGATTTCGGATGAAGCGTGAAAGGTAGTTTGAAACAGTACACTGGTGCCTGAGGGATGGTCCACATTACGCATCAACAGTCAGCACCAAAGTCGTACGAAAGTAAGGTTAATGAAAATCAGGATGACAGGCATGAGCAATGGGGTGGGAATTTGCATAAAAGTGTGCGACGGTGGACGAAGGTACAAACCTTCAACCACGTTCGGCGCTATTTGCAAACAAATACTCATTTGCGCCCACAAAAGGCTTCAAGCGATGTGACGACAAATAGCACTAAGACATTCGATTTAAGAATGTAATCGTTCCGAGTTTATGAATATAGTGGCTTTAGTTATGGTTTGTTAGAGTCCTGCTATTAGCTCACAGTGCATCAGTTATTTGTGGAGGTGAACATTTCCTGTGTGCATTTACCACTCGCTTTTGAGCAATGGATTAACGCAGTCTGCTGTAGTATTACATCACACAATATACAAATCTATTTTTTGAAAGGCTGACCACAGATATAATGAGGAGATTAACGATGTCCAATTAATGACGAAAATGAGCTTATTGTTACGTTGGACCAAACAACAGCATCCTATCCGACACAACACGGATGTCTGCCTTAAGACTCGGCACGAGGCGAATAATAACAACTGTGAAAGAAATTCATACGTCATGACACAGTAAAGCTGACTATCATAGAATGGTTTTTTCCAGGTTAGTAAGTTTCCCTATGTCAAACAGAACGATGGGCGCACAAAAGTTCATGTAAACAAAAAAAACTACAATCCACCATGATACTAGGTGGAATCACTCACCGAAAGCTGATTTAATAGCCGAATTAGTGAAGCTTACAAACTCGCCGATTTTCGATGAAATGAGTCCAAGATAATCTTATACTCGTTAAATTAACCAGATCCTGCACGATTGAAAAGCATTACGAGAGTACTAGAAACTTTGCCTC